TACCCTCCAAACAATTAAGCACCGCAGCCCAAGCATCTATAACTGCACAATCAACCTGTGACCCTGGAGTAAGCGATAACAAATTCTCCCAAGTCGCAGACCTAACACCGACTGAAAATATAGTACGCCCCCTACAGCAACAAATACACCAAACAATCACGAAAAAATACAAACTACGCGACTCACCGACCACAAAGAAACAAACACACAAAACTAACATGTCAGCAGTCGAACCCCCAAGCAACCAATTCACAATTAACGCCTCTTCTGGAACATCAGGAACAGGAAACGTAACAGACTCACTAACGCTGAACGACTGGTACTGCAGGCGAGAGGCAACGACCGGAATATGAGAAGCAGGAGACTTACTAGGACGAACGGGTTTAACCGGAGCCGCACACCCCGGCCCCCCAGAAACCGTCGGGCCAGTCAAACCACTACCACCAACACACACCTGCGCAACAAACAACCGTAACATGTATTACCCTGACCAAACACAACCACCAAACCAGCCATAAGAAAATAAGAGACAAAAAAGCACATGAAGTACAACCCACAATCACACACCCTCAATAACATATGAAAAACATAAAATGCAAGAACAGAATAACGAAACAAACCTCCGTGGGCGTTAAAAACTCCGGACCGTCAGAGGTAGGGTCAGTAGCCAATTCGGTGCCCCCACCATGAACATCAGCCCCCCCACCATTATCAGCACACACATTACCTTGACCCCCACCACGAGAATCGGGACCCATCACATCTCCAATACCCTACCCCAACAGACACAACCAGAGATATTACAACCAATAGCATAGAACAAATGTAAACAAAAAAAAAAAAAAAAAACAACCACACATAAACCAACATATAGACCACATTGACAAGCAAACCAACATGCATACACCAGCACACCAGCATGCATACTCCAACACGCAACGATGAAAAGCCAAAAAAAAACAAAAGAGCAACTCATCCAACTGCATTTGACAAAAAAAAAAAACAAAAAAAAAAAACAAACCTGCCCCGAGGCCCCCAAACCAGCTGGTTCCTCGCACACCTTCGCACCCTCCTACAAGGAAACACACACCCAACTTATATAAACCCCACACCAGATTACAAACCAAAAATCAAAGCCAAAAATCAAACACATACAACAGAAAACACAAAAAACCTTACCGAAGGAATAATATTAACCGGCCCAGAATCATCACCGCCAAACTCCGCCGCATTTTCGTTAACCGCCCCAACAACCGCATCAACACCTCCACCTTCAAGACCCGCCACATCAAAATCTTGAGTTAAGCCAAGACTAAACGAAGGCATATCATTGAGGCCACCACCCCCAGAAATGTCACGAAAATCCACATCCAAAGCACGCAACCGGGCCTGAATAGGAGCAAAAAAACGGCGACAAACCTCCCCCTCCACCACCCTACCACGTGCCATCTTGAACAACTCATCCAAGCTAGCAACGGAACTTGCAACAACAGCAGCAGCCTCCCCAACAACACATTCAAACGTCTAGAGTGAACACAAAAAGAACACATACATTAGCATACAAGCCTTCATCAGACTAATCCAATCCTGTAAGCACAACCAAGCCCAACAGTGCGCACATAAAGTAATGAAGTAAATAAATTTAAAACAAAAAAGAGTGCAAGACAAACAACTGTGCAATCCAACCTTAGGGCCATACTCGGGGCCATCCCCGTCCACATTCAACCCCACAACAGCAGGCTCGATCTCACCACGACCAAACCCACCAGCAGCCATCTCCGCAGACTCCCTCGCAAAAAGCAACTCCGATGTCCATCCGCGAAACGAAGGCACGAGCCGTGGGACGGAACGCTCAAACGGCAACACACGGTCCACATAAAACAACTGAACGCATGTGCACAACAAAATAAGGAAAATAACACAAAAAACGGTAAAAACAAAATTAAAAAAAAAAACAAAAATAACAAACAGAACAATACCGCAACAAACTCCGCAGGACCCACAAAGCATTTATGACGGCCATTAACCCAAGCATCCTGAGTCTCCACCAACAAATCTAGCAGAAGCTTGCACCAATTTAACTCATGGATCCGAGAGACATCATCAAACCAATCAAAATACATTTGATTCGCATAGCCATTGCTCATACAACACACCAACGTGGACAGCACCAACATACAAAAATTCCTTTTAAACCAATCGCCACCATCAACCTCACCAATAACCTTGTTTGCAACCATGGACAACGACACCGCATAACCCCCCTTCCCAAATAATCCCCTCCAATGTTTCAGCATATTACTAATATGCACCCGCTCACGCTTAACCATCTCAATTTCACCCCGCGGAAACCCCAACACCAACTCCACATCCCGCTCATACACAGGAAGGGCCCTACCACCCCCCAAGTCAAACGTCCGCGTCTGCCCATCAAAATTAGTCAAGAGCCAATGCACCAGACTCGGCGGACACTCAGACACCTTGAAATCCAGCAAATGCCCAAATCCTAAACCCCTAATATCATTTTTTTGCCGCACGGACGAATCGTGAAGAGCATCAACAAGAACACCAGTTTGCCCCCGAAACTTAACAGTGGAAAATTCAGAAACCTCTTCTACAAGCTCCTCACCACCACCAGAGGAATCTTCAGGAGCATTCCACAGCGGGTCTTGCTCCAACCTAGCCAAGAACGCCAACGGTGGCGAAACGAAGTCATCATCAGTCGCACACCCCACGCCAACCCCAGGAACACCCTGCAACCCCTTAAGCTTCTTACCTGCAGAAAAAGAACAACACTACTCACTACGCAACCCTACACACCAACCCACACACCTTCAGCACCACACCCAGCCACATCAATCACAATACAAAACCACACACCCACAATCCCGGCAGAAACATCACCCACACACCCCCCCCCCCCCCCCCCCCACCAAAATTTCCTGATTTGGAAAACAAATAATCATCCGACCATCGAACAACTAACAACAATTAAAGCCGGCACAATTATAACAACCGACAACAAAACAAGTAACAACAAAATAAAAAACTGAAATGCAGTAAAATACAAAAAGAAACTACTATACACCATCAAATAGAATACACCTATCATGCCACACTAGTTTAAATGCAAAACACTATATAGGATACTCAAGATATAAGGATATGTACCAAATAATCTCAACTACTAATAAACAGCATGCCACACTAGTTTAATCTAGACTCAACATAAAACATAGTAATCCACACCTCATTCCACAAACATTTAAGCAAAACCCCTAACAAAAAAAAAAAAAAAAAAAAAAAAAAAAAAAAAAAAAAAAAAAAAAAAAAAAAAAAAACAGAGACAAAATCTGCCCGGCCGGATGAATAATAAACACCCCTTCCGAATCCAAAAAAAAAATTACTACATTTATTCCTCTTACTATTTTAACCTTGTTATTTATGCGAACTTAATTGATTCGGACCACCTTAAGTCAATTATAATTAGTCCCCTCAATTACAATTATTACTGCGCATTATACTGCTCTTTCATTGTTAATTGACACATGAAGCAGAAAGATGTTTTAGTATACTGCTCTTTCTTTGTTAATTCACACGGTTAGCAAAAAGATGTTTTATTATACTGCTCTTTGTTTGTTAATTCACACAGTTAGCAGGAAAGCTGAAATGGAATCTAATATCGCGTTGAGAAGCTATTGCAAACGAGAGAGACTCATAAGGGTGTGGTTATAACATACGAACAAGCATACATTTAAAAAAAAAAAAAAAAAAAAAAACAACAGCAACGAGAACTGCCGGCCAGAAAAACGCCCACAGCCACCCCACCCAGCCACCAAAATCCGCACCGCCCGGAAACAAACAAACAAACCCCAAAACCCATCCCGCCATACCCCTACAAACCAGTACAAAAACAAACCCTAGATGCAAAAATCAAACACAAAATCGGGCAAAAAGACATAGCCCCCACCCCAATCCACACCTACCAACCACCAAACAACAAACCCCCAAAACTTGAACAGAAAACAAGGCCGAAAACAGTATAGAAAAAAAAAAAAAAAAAAAAAAAAAAAAAAAAAAGAGGACTAACCTCAGCCGACATCCGGTGGTCCCCCCCTCTTCAACGTGTCGCGGTCCCCACCAACAACCATGACAACGTGCGAATGAAGATCGAAAACGAGAAGGAGAGAAGGCAACGCGATTTTCGCACCTCTTCGACGCACTCCCCACGCACGACAAGAGAAGACCGGAAGAAAAGGAAAATTCTCCACCTTGCGCGTGTGTTTGAAAGCCAATCTGACAAGGACTCTCCAACCAAAAATACATTAATACCCTTCTTAAAATAAAAACACCCAAAAAAGTAGATGGATGCACGCCCAAATCTGAGCCATTCAACCGCATCATCCAACGCTCTAAAATAGTCCACACGTTTTTATTTTAAGAGGTGTTTTCACATGAATCAAATTCTATATATATATATATATATATATATATATATATATATATATATATATATATATATATATATATATATATATATATATAAAGTAATTATTTAAATAATAAATATTTTAAAAAATATTTTTAATTAAAGGTAACATGTTAGCGACCTAGAAAACTTACAAAATAGACAACTTGTAAGAAAGTTGTTAGTTTAGGGATTTAATTGTAATTTTTTAGATTCGGTGGCCTAATTACATTATTATGTGCACTTCGATTACCTATTTGACCCTTATTCTAATATTATTTAATTTCGAGAATTCAAAATGATCATAGCAAACAAATACGAGATGGAATGCTTGAGCTAGGTAATGGTGTATTTTTGTTCTTCTTTTATTCTTGTAGGCAGAATATTATCATGCCATATAGCTAGTATACTCATGTAGGTATATAGCAACCTGAACCTAGTTTTATATCATGTTTATCTAACAATCAAGAAATTTGAAAAAGAAAATACTCCATCCTAACATATATAGTTAGATACTGTTGATTAAATATTTCTAATGGCGATCCCTCAAATCATAGCGGCCGCCACGTTTCCTCAGATCATCATCGTACTCATCGTCTTCTCTCATGGAATCCTTAACATTCTTTGTCGTCTCCTTGGCCGCATCCCATGCATCGTCCATTGTCTGCTTCGCCTTCTCTCCCAACTCCATCCCCGTTTCCATCGCTCTCGCCGCTCCTTCTCTCATACTATCAGCCACCGACGACCTCCTCTCCTCCCTCTCCCCGCGCGCATCATCCATGTCCGCCGCCTTCCCTTTCGCCCTCCCCGGCGTCTCAATAATCTATTGCATACAAGATAATAGTAAGTAATAAACAGCTATATATTCTCTATAAATCAAATATTGTTGGGACTGAGGTCGATAAGGGCATGTGACTAGGGGACGATTGAGTAGAGACTGGTAAAAAGTTAAAGTCAAGTATTTTAACATTTGAAAATGTTTGACCGTATAAGAAAATAAAATTTTTTTAGTGTAAAATCTTAACAAATTAAATATAAATTCCCATCCTGAGGCAAATTATATTAATTTAATAACCGTAAAATTATAAGTTCAATTCTCAGTAATTGATGTAACGCCTTTCTTGAGACTCGAACTCACATCCTTCCAAAGAAAAGTACAATCCAGATACTATTAAATCACATGGTCTTAGTAGAATGGATGTAATTTAATTTATATCATAATCACAAACCTACACACCTTCAATACTGATTGTAAATTTCTCCCTTTCATAAAAAAAAATAATAATAAAAGAATTCATACCTTAATATCATCTTTGTTGACTGTGGAGGAGAAGGTAGCAGCAAGAGATCTGATGTTGGGAGGAGTGTTGTGGAAGGAAGAAAGGCATGCAGAGAACACTGTCTTTCTTATTGCCAACATTTTTTTTTCTAACGATATGATGTGCTTTTCGATAATTCCTAATAACAAAAAGTTAGTGTGACAGCCGCCGGGATTTATAATTCCGTTGCGTTGTCGGCGGGGGAACGGTGCCGGTGACCGGGATGTGTTGCGCTGATGACACGTGGAGGCAACACCATGCTTAAATTGCCACGTTGCTATACCATGCATGCATACTCATTAGCTTTGTCAATATTGCCCCTTTTAAATTTATAAAACACGAAATTATTATAAATTTAATTGTTTTTTTTTTTTTTTCATTCTTTCCAAAGGTTGATTCCCTCCACATACCCGGACTCGACAGAGCATCTAGAAGGATGTAAATCATGGTAACTCAGTTAAATCACATTGATGGCATAGATTTAATTAACCCGGGATAGCCCGAATCAATAAACCCGATAAATAAAGATAGTGTAAATTGATAAGGAAAATAGGAAAAAGAGGACAAACTTGTGTTGTAGGGTCGCAGCGAACAAATATTTTATTGATAATAACGTATCGAGCTATTACAATGGTGTAATGCTATTACAAGGTGATAGATTTAAGACAACAGTTCTGAAAAGACCAGAAATGTCCTAAAGGGACAAAATGGACTCCTTTTATACCCAAGGGAGACCCGTAACCGCCCCCTCTGACGAGACCCAAAGACAACAAGCAAATGATCCCATCAAAGTTTCTAGTAGCCCGACAACAAGATCCAAGTCAAAAAAGATTCAAGAGGCTTTTAACACTTTTGTGCAAGCAAATTGGAGTACAACCGCTATTTATGAAGAAGGAGATCAATTTGGAGAAACAATTCCATTCAATTGCCTTCACATCAAGACTTTTGAAGAGAGCTACTAGCTTAAGGAGTGTGCTTCACCTACTAGCTTGATGAATCACCTACTTGCTTAGTGATTCACCTACTTGTTTGTGCAACTTCATCACTACCTAGCTGCTCACTCACCTCCTTGCTTGTCATCAACCAAGTTGCTCAAGCAACCACCTCAAGCAAGTAGCTTACTCAAGGGGACAAAGCATTAAATGCTCATGACAAACCCATGTGAAAGATTGCAAGTTGTGGAAGAAAAATCAGCCTACTACAAATCTGATTTCATGCGTAAAGAGGGGGGAGAGGAGGTTTATTTTTGCAACTTGTAATTTTTAATTATTTACTTCATAGCTAAGGAATGTAACCTAGAATATTTTATATATTTGTAATGCCTGATTTTTCCCTATAAAAACCCCATCACCCAATGGTTCAAATCATCTTGTAATATTTGGAATGAAATGAGAATTTCTCTCTTTTTCTTTGCATGAGAATTGCATTGAGTGTTTAGGTTGTTTGTGAGATGCATTCAATCTAAGTAAGCTAGTGAGAAGCTAGTTTACAAGTCGAGAAGGCATATCCTACTATCTTGTTCTTCATATTCATACACATACCCGAAAAATTTCAAAAAGAATAGAACTACTACTTATATTACATAGTTAAGTTTGTTCTTATTTCTTATCTCAAGTGCTATATTCCTAAGTCTAGTTCTTAGCCTTGTTTAATCATCCGAGGGTTGAGAAGATCATTGGAAGTTTGGCGAGGCAATTGTAGAGTTCGGGATCTCAAAATCCAAGAGTCTACAAGGTAAGATCCTTTATAGGACACGATAGGTTCTGGAGTGATTCCTTGGGTGTGCACTTGTTGTGAGAAGCAACCCGTGTACGCGTCAGTTTGGTATCAGAGCCAAGTTCCTTTTGTATCATTCTATCATTTCTATCTTTAATTTCATATTTACCATTGTTTATATTCCTTTTCCCTTATTCTTGTTTAGCCTTAATTCTATCCTTACTATCTTTACTCTTGTTCTATTTCCCTTTCCCTTGTTCCTTGCATTTCTTTTTGTTTGTTGTTTTCCTATAAGGAGTCTTGTTTCGGTTACACCATTGGTTTTGTTAAGAGTATTGATTGGATTACCGTCGACTCTTAAAAAAATTCTGATTTTGGTTAAACCATCAGCTCCTATTTATAGCCTTTGATTTGGTGACCTTATAAAAAGTAGATACCATCAGGCATATTATATGTATTATTTATAGCCTTTGATTTGGTGACCTTATAAAAAGTAGATACCATCAGGCATATTATATGTATTATTTATAGCCTTTGATTTGGTGACCTTATAAAAGGTAGATACCATCAGGCATATTATATGTATTACTTATAGCCTTTGATTTGGTGACCATATAAAAGGTAGATACCATCAGGCTTCTTTTATCTTCTACTATTGTGTTTTTACTTTACCACTATTTTGCCTTATTTAAAGGGTGATTAAAAAAAAACAAAAAAAAAAAGAAGAAAAAAAATATATATTCAAAAAAAAAACGAAAAGTAAAGAAAAAAAAAAAAGAGATAAGGTTAGTTTGATATTTAGTTTAAATTGCATTACTTGAAATTTTTTTATGCATTGTTTCTTTCTATTATCTTTCTTCTAATTTACAAAAAGCCACCTGTGTCAGTTTCAAACACACTCTGTGTCAGTTTCTACATCACTCCATAGATATTATTTCCCACCTTTCGTGTTTACTAGACTCAAACTCTACAAGTGTTGGGTTTGTTGTTTGTGGTGGATACAACCCTTGTGAGTTTTAAGCTTTGTTAAGGACCAAGACAACAAGAATTAGCACTTTTGGAAAAAGGCTAGTGAGGTTGCCAACCAGTGCCACACGAGACGAGAGACATAAAATTTTGAGAGGGTGTGGATATTCCTTTTATTTACTAACATCTTATTTTTAGAATTAAAGGTATGGCTAGTACTAGTGAACAAAGCAATATTTGTGCCCAAATAGAAGCAATGATGAACATGATGAAAGACCTTAGTGCTAGGCTGCAAAACATTGAAAATGAAAATCAAAGGGTGAGAGTTGAAAATGAGGGAGTACAAAATCATGAGGGAAGAAACCAAGAAGAAAGGAGGGGTAGGGAAGTAGCTAGACATAATAGTTTACCCCGCATGCTCCCTAGAAGATATGTGGAAGAAAGGGTAGATAATAATCTTAGCTCATTAAAAATGGAAATGCCTACTTTTATTGGAGATGATGAACCTAAAGTTTTCTTAAATTGGGTAGATGAAGTGGATGATATTTTTGGACTACATAACTTTGGGGAGGAAAAGAAGTTTAAGACAGCCATAGCATCCCTAAAAGATTTTGCAAAATTGTGGTGGAAACAACTTAGTCGTAGGCGCCTAGAAGACCATGATGACCCTATAGAGACATGGGGAGAGCTTAAGAGGGAGATGAGGAGGAAGTTTGTGCCTAGTAATTTCTATCGTGATATGCGTAGGAAATTACAAGAACTCAAACAAGGCAACAAGCTTGTTCGTGAGTTCTACAAAGAGATGGAGGGATTAAAGGCACGAGCAAACATCTAAGAAGATGACGAGACCAGCATAGCTCGTATTCTTGAAGGGCTCAACCGTGATATTCGAAGAGAACTCCGCAACCAAGAATTTGATGATGTAGACAAGTTGGTTCGAGTTGCTTCGAAAGTTGAAGAGGAACTAAGATCCGTACGGGGAAGCAAAACATCTATGTCTTCTCGATGGGATCAACCAAGGAGAGCCACAAACAACTCTTATCAACCGAGGACACAAAAGGAGTACTCTCGACCATCCCACACTCGAGAGGAAAAGAAAAATGACCAAAAAGATAAGGGGAAGTTCCAAGAAAGCTCAAAAGAAAAGGTTAGCAGTGTGACATGTTATAGGTGTCAAGGTCGAGGACATTATGCGCGAGAATGCCCCAACACCAAAAAAATTCTCACCACTGGCAAAGATGAGCGAGAATACATATCTACAAGTGAATCTGAAGATGAAGAGTTGGAGCCAATAGAAGAAAGACAAAAAGTTGAACACTCTGAAGAAGAAGTGCAAGAAGATGATACTCTACATTTCAACTGTGTAGTCCACAAAGCCTTGAGCACTCTTGTTGTCCTAGATCAAGAAGAACAACGAGAGAACATCTTCTATGGCAAATGCAAGATTCCTGGTGCTACATGTAGTTTCATCATTGATGGAGGGAGTTGTACCAATGTGATCAGCGAGGATGTGGTGAATGCAATGAGAATACCAACAATCCAACATCCTCAACCATATAAGCTACAATGGCTTAATGATGATGGTGAACTCAATGTAGACAAGCAAGCCCTCATTTCTATTTCCATTGGGAAATACCAAGATGAAGTGTTGTGTGATATAATCCCAATGCATGCTTGTCACATCTTATTGGGTCGACCATGGAAATATGATCGAGATACCTTACACCATGGTAAGACAAACAAGTATACATTCATAAGGGAGGTAAGAAGTACACTTTGACGCCACTAGCACCAAAGGAAGTGTACAACATCCAAGTGCAATCCAAAAAGTTGAGAGAAGAACTTGCCCAGAAGGCAAAAGAGGTCATGTCCATGAAGGAAAACACTAGTGGAAAACAAAAGGCCTTAGCTCAAGAGAAAAAGGAAAGGAAAGAAGGGATGAAAAAGGACACTACACAATCATCTCATAACTTGCTCATGACAAAAGGAGAAGTGGAGAAAGCCTTAAGAGGGGGAGAGGGAGTTTTCTTGCTTTACCCTATTGAGTTTTGTCTAAATGTTATTAAAAGTGAAACTATCCCTTCTGATGTTTCTATCCTGCTTTCTGAATTTGCAGATGTCTTTCCTGAAGAATTACCAAAGGGGTTACCTCCAATTCGTGGGATTGAGCATCAAATTGATCTCATACCTGGAGCAAGTTTGCCTAATAGACCAGCCTATCGCACCAATCCCGATGAGGCTAAGGAGATTCAACGTCAAGTTGATGAGTTATTGCAAGCTGGATTCATCCAAGAAAGCCTAAGCCCATGTGCTGTGCCCGTACTACTTGTACCAAAGAAAGATGACACGTGGCGAATGTGTGTTGATTGTCGCGCAATCAATAACATCACAGTGAAGTATCGCTATCCTATTCCTAGGT